TATCCAATGCTTTAATTTGTGTCTGTGTGTGTTTTGTTAATGTAAATTTCATGGAGTGTTTGTTGGGGTATTATTTTTATTCTTTTAGTTATGCTCTAGATGTCGAGTTTTCTTTGTTGATGACTAGATGAAACATTGCCCACTCACTCCGTCATTTACAATATATTCAAGATATTTTCGTCATTCAAAATATTGCTGGGACCAGAAGTAGTAGGTGAGGCATTAATTTCCTTGAATGGCGTATCAAGAGTGGAACAAGTATTGGTAGCCTGCAATATGTCATTATGATGGTTTGCATTCATTGTTTCAAAAGCGTCTCCTCTATTTTTTAGGCTGCTTTGGATTGTAGCATCTGGTGATGAAAGTACTAGACTAACTTCATTCTCGTCCTCCCAAGAGAATGCAGTTAATCAAACATTTTGTTTTGTTTGGCTGATTTGAATTTGATTATCAGTTAATCAAACAATTTTATTTTGCTAGTTAATTTTTTTTTATCTTTATATGTTATTAAATATAATTCATCTTTCTCAATGCAGCCAGAAATTCTTTTTCTTTCCATGAAAAGTCTAGGTTCTGTGGCTCTTGCCTCTCTGACTGTGTCATTTGTAGAGTCAATCCGCTTTCTGCTTGAAACTATACACCACAGGGCTTATGCATTACGTGTGGGTTATTCTGATCACCCAGGGCTTATGGATGAGGGCCTGGATTCTCCTCACTAGAGTAGAAACAAGACTGAACATATCACAGTCTTTAGAGATAAACTGGATAACTGTTGAGGAGTCACATTCACATTCTAGTCAAAGCTTTGGAACCCTTCTATTCTCCGAGGAGAGCTCTAATCCGACAAGGACACTGCATAACTCAGCAAGGAAGGAATTCCCACACCCAAGAAACATTTTTATCCTTTGAGGACCCTCCCAGTCCCAAGCATAAAATTAAATATTTCTTAAGCTATGACCACGTTGTTCGTTTCTTGTCTGCCAGAATAAATCTACATTGATTAGGAGCTATCCAGGAAGGCATTAAATCCTTTCGGTCTTTGGAATATATAGACTTTCATGATTAACCTAAACTCAGCTTTTTCTCTCTTTTCTCAATAGACTTACTGTAATATTCTTTAGGGCACTAAAACATCTCAGAAAGTCCTGGCTAATTGTTATCCAGTTACCAGAGATGTAATCTAGCACAGGTTGCCTAGACAAAATGTGGGTATATTTCTGGACAAAGAATATAAGTGTGATGATATATAGAATTGAGGCTTAGTAAAAAATTATCTACTAAGAATTAACTTTTATCATCTGTCTTATACTTGTGGCATTAAAAAGTTCCCAGTAAAATCCCTCTTTCCTAAAACAATGAATTTGCTTTAAACTTTTAGGGGATAAGTATTACTTTAGAATTTAGTTATTTATTCTTAATAAGGCTTTCTACATTTCACTTGGTATATTGCTTTTTGCATCCTCTTTTTCTTTTTTTAATTCAATGTGTCATCCTTTTCTGTTAATTCAATTTGTTTTAATATTTTTATGTCTTTTCGCATTTAACTTCTCATTTATCTGCTTCAAACCTGCAGATTGCTATAACTGGTAAAAGTTTCTATAGAGCTTCTGTTATTGCAACGGAGTTGATCATGAATAACATCCTACGGATTGAGCATGTCAATGATATTGGAAATGTTATGTTATTTCTTGGAAAACTATGCGCCAGCCTGTCAAGTGCTGTTTTTGCTTTCCTCATGTTGGAAACACAGAAGTTCAAATCTGCACATAACAAGATCTCATCTCAACTTTTGCCTGCTGTGGTATGTTTTCTACTTTTCTATAATCTAATTAAAAGAGTGGGGCTTGAAGATCAATTACGGTGTAACAAAAGCATAAAATAAATTTTAATAACATCACATTATGTATCAATATAAACCATTAAAGAGGTCTTCACCTAATAGCTTAAGTTTTTGGGTTGAATTGGTTCTTTATATGGTACCGGAGCTGGTTGTTCTGGGGGACCCTCGCTTCCGCTAAAACTTTAAGCCCACTGCTTAGGTATTCTCTTCTACTTTGTCGTGTGTCCCTTCCGGCAATTCTGTCTCTACTGTTCATCGATGGAACTATTCATTGTCTGTACAATCATTGTTCACGTCCGTACAATCCTTGTTCACGTCACCGGAAACACCGTTCGAGTTGCCGGAGTTACTGTTCATCGCTAGAAACACTATTTCAGCTTCTTTTTTTGGTCGTTCCCGGACAAAACTGTTCGATTTTTCCTCTTCTTTCCAGATCTGTTCTTGGTTCTTCGCTTTTTATTCGGCTATCCGATTGATTCGATTTGCTTTGTTCTGCAAGTTTTTATTGCTTTCGTAATGGCAAAATCATCTTCTGCTCCTGATTCATCTTCTGTTATTTATTCCACTGCTTTTGTTTCCCGTACTGACTCTCGCAGGAACGATGGATGTAGTCAAAGACCTCGTTGCAGTTATTGTTAGTAACTTGGTCATTATAAGCAGCGTTGTTACACGAAGTATCCTCACCTGCAACCTTATTATATGCTGCGATTATAGTTTAGTCTGATACTCCTTCATCTGGTTTAGTCTTTATCTCTCCTACAGACCATGCAACACTTCAGACTCTTCTCAGGAAGGCTTCTCGTCAGTCTCAGCCTTTTGCTCCAGGTACTCTTGTTGCATGTGTTTCTCATTCCACATCACTTGGGCCTTGGATATTTGACTCAGGTGCTACCGATCATCTCTGTGGTAATAAGGAACTATTTACGTCTCTTACTTATTCTAATCATTTACCTTCTTTTACACTTGCTGATGGAACCAAAGCCCCAGTTCGTGGATTGGACAAGCTCGTCTGACCTCTACCTTGACCTTGACATCTGGCTATTACATTCCTGTCATACCTTATAACTTAATTTTTGTTAGTAAATTGGTCCACTCCCTCACTTGCACCATCACTTTCTCTAACCATTCTGTTTCTATACAAGATTCGGGTACGGGAAAGACGATTGGAGGGGGTCATGAGTCACGAGGGATTTATTATCTAGTTGTACCTCATCCTACAGTGGCATGCTCTCTCACAGATTCTCCACATCTTATCCACAGTCGCCTCGGCCATCCAAGTCTTTCAAAACTGCAAGTCTTTAGATTGTCTATCGTGTCAGCAAGGGGGCACGCACGCTCCTCCTTTGACAGTCTAGTCAATAAACGAGTTGATGCTCCTTTCTCTCTTCTTCATTCAGATAATTGGATTCTAAGTCGTACTTGTCTGTTTTAGATTTTCGGTATTTTGTTACTTTTATGGATGATTATTTCCGTTGTACCTGGGTTTATTTAATGAAAAATCGTTCTAAGTTATTCTCCATTTATAAAAAGTTATCTGCTGAGGTTCTTACTCAATTTGGTGTTTATATTTGTATTTTACGTAGCGATAATGCTAAGAAATATGTTTCTTTTGACTATTCTAATTTCTTGGCTACAAAAGGTACTTTACACCAGACCATTGGTTCTCACACCCCACAACAAAATGGGGTGATCGAACGTAAAAATAGACATCTCATTAAAACTGCCCGTACCCTTCTTATTCACATGAAGGTTCCTTTTCACTTCTGGGCGGATGCCGTACTAGCATCTTGTTTTCTCATCAATCGCATGCCTTCCTCTGTGCTTAACAATGACATTCCCTATAACCTATTATTTTCAGATGCTTCTCTTTATCTGTTATCTCCACATGTCTTTGGTTGTACCTGTTTTGTTCATGATCTCACTGCTGGTAAGGGCAAGTTAACATCCAAAGACTTTAAGTGTATTTTTCTTGGTTATGCTCTTCTTCAAAAGGGTTATCATTTTTATTCTCCTGATCTTAAGCGTTATATTGTTTCCGCTGATGTCATTTTTCTTGATCAACAACCTTTTAATTCTAACCCATCTCAGTTATCACATGTTGATCATGTTCTTCCTGTTCCCTTTGACTTGTCTTTACTAGCTGCATGTGACTTTCTTCTAGAGAAAAATGCCTCCATCCCTAAGAATCGTCCTTTTCTCACCTATCAGCATGGTCAAAAAGCACCTCCTGCAGACTTGACCCTGGATGACTCATCGCCTCATCTTGTCACCTCTTTCCATCCTTCTCCTACACCAGAGGCTCTTCCCATTACTCAAAGAAAAGGTATACGTACTACACGTAACCCTTATCCTCTTTATACCTTTTTAAGCTATGACCGTCTTTCTATTCTTCATTTCACCTTTGTTTCTAGTCTTTCTTCTGTTTCTATTCCTAAGACCACAGGTGAAGCACTTTTCCATCCAGGGTGGCGCCAAGCGATGCTCGAAGAGATGACTGCTCTTCATTTCAATGGCACTTGTGATCTTGTTCCTGCTTCTCCGGGGAAGTCTATTGTCAGTGGGTCTTTAATATCAAGGTTGAGCTTGCTGGCCATGTTGATCGTCTCAAGGCACGCTTAGTTGCCAAGGTTATTACTCATATTTTTTGAGTTTGACTATAGTGACACGTTCTCTCCTGTTGCTAAGATGGCGTCTGTTTCGTATGTTTCTTGCCCTCGCTGCTGTTTGTCACTGGCCACCCCTTGAACTAGACAATAAGAATGCTTTTCTTCATGGTGATTTACAAGAAGAGGTTTACATGGAGCAACCACTTGGGTTTGTTGCTTAGGGGGAGTCTTGGAAGGTATGCAGACTCCTTATATGGCCTCAAGCAGTTTCCTCGGGCATGGTTCAGCCGTTTCAGTTCTTCCGTGCAGGCTTTTGGCTTAATCCGCAGTAAGGTCAATCAAGTTGGGATTCACTACTTAAAATAGTATTTGTTCAGTCAATTTCAAATGAAGGATCTTGGTAAGTTTCGTTACTTCCCAGGGATTGAAGTGGTATAGTCTAGACAGGGAATTTCTATCTGTCAAAGGAAATATGCCTTGGATATCTTATAGGAGACTGATATGTTGGGGTGTAAGTCGATTGATACACTCATGGATCCTACTATCAAATTACTACCCAGACAGGGAGAGCCATTATCTGATCTTAGACGTTATCAGAGGTTGTTTGGGAAGCTTAATTATTTAACTGTGACTAGGCCAGACGTTTCTTTTGCTGTTAGTGTGGCTAGTCAGCTTCTTGACTTTTCTTGTGATTCTCATTGGGATGTTGCTGTGAGGATCCTCCGGTAGATCAAAGGAGTACCAGGGAAAAGCTTATTATATTCAGATCAGGGAAATACATAAATTTGTGGTTATTCAGAAACCAATTAGGCAGGATCACCATCGGATAGACGCTCTACTTCAGGCCATTGTGTCTTCCTTGGAGGAAACCTGATTTCTTGGAAAAGTAAGAAACAAACTGTTGTTACCCATTCTAGTGCAAAGGCCGAGTATTGTGCAATGAGAGTTGCTACCTGTGAGCTAATTTGGTTAGAGCAGTTGATTCGGGAGCTCCATCTTTGTGAACAGAAACAGCCTATGACACTCATCTGTGTCAATCAAGATGCGCTACATATATCATCTAATCTCTTATTTCATGAGAGAACCAAACATATTGAGATCGATTGTCATTTCATTCGAGAAAAGATTCAGTCAGGAGATATTAATACGACATTTGTCAACTCCAGCGATCAACTCGTGAATGTCTTCACTAAAGCTCTTAGAGGTCCTCGGGTTGAATACATTTGTGGCAAACTAGGTGATTATAATATATACGTACTAACTTGAGGGGGAGTGTTAGAGTAATTGTTATAATAGTTCAATGTATATAATAGAATAGTCCCACATCTTGTGGGCTTAGTCCATTAGATCTTTTAGTCTCTTTAAATAAAGAGCTCTTATACATTGTAACACAATTATTCAATATACCATTATTCTATTATTCAATCTCAAGTTGGTATGAATGAAGTTGCCTTGCTTGATTAGAGTATTCTAACTTTGAAGTCTTTGGATTCAATATTGTATTGTTTTGGCTTTCAACTCTGGAATGGGATCCTAGTGGCGTATATGTTCCTGTTTCGGCATTGCACTGTTAAAATATCAACAATACCTTGAAAAGTAAAATTCCAATAAGCAAAAGGAGGCCTCAAAAAGACAAACATCTCAAAATTCCACCTGCACTCTCAAAGTTTTTTTTCCCTTTTCTTTAAGGAAATTAAAAATGGAAACAGAACAGCGAATATTGTCTTGAGTATTCTGTATTGGATGGAGCATTATGTATATTCTTGTTCATGGTTGAGCCGTTGAATTTGCAGGAAGCAGTGGCCATCACTACAGCTGTTGTGTTTGATTTTGAAAGTATTTTTGCAACAAAGAGAACTAAATGAGGTAGGTTTTTTCTTAAATATGTTACATATTTCTTATCTTGTAATGATCTGGATTCAAGTCTGCCTAACTGAAGATTCGTATAGTAAATGCAGGTATATTTTGGTGGGGTCGGTTCGTATGCCCTCCTTGCCGTGCTGATGGCCATGTTGCGTGTAGTGATTCTTAAATATGCTTTCAAAGTTCTTTATAAGGCTTTTCTATTCAACATGTGATCCACCTCTATATCAACAACAGAAATAAACCCTGAAATCCACTTTTTTTTTTCTTTCTAATGCATTGTAATCTTTGGCATTGCATAAAGCTCAAAGTACTTCTTTTTGCCAATGACATGCTCTAAATTTGTGACCATTATATGATTCAGAATCTTCGTCAGAACCAAGCTTCTGTAGAGCAAAACTTGGGGGTTCTTTTGGTGCGTATTTCCTTAACAGCAGTTTAGCATATTTATTTCTTTGGTTCATGGCAGTTAGAGGGCTCTTCTTCGATGATTGGCATGTTATTTTTTTTTTTTTTTTCTAATATTTTAAAACACAGAAACAGGTGATATAATTCTGTACTGCACTACTGCATGCCCTTGTTTGGATAACTGTCTCCTTTCTGGGATGTAAAGAAATCTATCAAACTTCCCAGTCTGACAGTGATTTTTTTTTTTTTTTTTGGGTGTGTGTGTGTGGGGGGTGGGGGGAGGTGCATTTTTTTTTTCTACGGACGCAAATTGAACACCTCAGATGTTGGTGTGTCTTGTAATGGGGTAAGCACCTTTTTCTTAAACAGTAGTAAAGGGTAATAAAGGAATGTGCATATATTTGTGAAGAAATGTTATATTTGATCATGCTGTATTATCTTTCTTCTGGCTGAATTAGGCTCCAGAGAATGACATTGGGAAGAACTCCTTCAATTATTTCCAGGTTTGTTTATTATCTTTCTTATTTAATGACAATCATGATAATATTTCTAGAAAATGTTCTCTTAGAGTGTTTTTCCGGTTACCATTTTTTTGAGCTTCCTTTTTTTCTGTCCAAGGTCTTTCATTTTGTTTTCCGGAGTTGATTAAGTTGTGTCTTGCTTGCTTGTTTGTCTTTTGTGGTATTTTGAGCAATATTACAAGCGCGGGCAGTTTGTCATTTTCTGAAAATCATGTTTGGGCAAGTCATATTTAAAGAAAGCTGCAATTTTGTGAAAGGAATGATTATAATCGTTGTGCAGGATCAGATTGACCATAGCTTCAAAAGAGAAGTTGCATATTTCAAAAAAATCAATGTAATTTGCCATCTGATCCATGATTTTACTTTTAAATATCTAAAAATGGTACGGCAATTCAAATAGAATGACTTTATCTAACATGTGCAGTACTGTAATGCAAGAGTTTATAAATCGGGAAACAAGCAGAAAAAAACGCAAATAGTCAGAATGCTGGACCCCGGGACAAAAACAGTGTTCTGAATTAATAAAAAGGGGTGAAAAATGAAAAAGGAGATGAAAAATTAGAGGAGGGGACAAGTGACAAGAATTAAAAAAAAAAAAAATACTTGCCAAAGTTGAAAACGATCTTAGTTAATGTTAGAATAGGAAGTTTTGAATTTGAAATATTGTTGTAAATGTATTTTTGAGATTACTGTTTGTAAAAGAAAGTTTGTTTAGGAATTGTTAGAGGATTTTTAGGCTTTAGATTTATTTTGTTTATGAATTACTTGTGTATAAATACATCTCAATTAAAGAGGAAAAGTATGAATGAATTGAAAGTATTTTAATATTCAACAATTTTACATGGTATCAGTTTAAAGTTTACGTTCCAGGCACTTTTTCATTAAACACCCGTTACCACTTATTCCTCTAATTCCTTTAATTCCTACTTATTCCTTTCATTCCTTTAATTCCTTTAATTCCCACTTATTCCACCCGTTACTTTTTCATTAAACACCCGACCCGAATCCAAGCACTTATTTCCCTGACCTTGCATCGAATCCCTAATTCCATATAATGAAAAACGAAAATGCAAACAACAACCCCACCCCCCATCTTCCCCACCTCACGCCGCTGCCAACGTCCCACCGTCCAACATCATCATCCAGCAAGAAACCTCCTCATTTCCGGTTACCCTCATCCTTGATGAATGAATTGAAAGTATTTTAGTATTCAGCAATTTTAGAGTTAACAACCACTTATGTTTCTCATGGTCGGTGTTTTGTTTCTTCTATCTACAATCACAGAGCATGACAAAAATACTGTTCATATTTGGCTTCTCGAAACGATGAAACCAAACCAAATATGACCAATCTTATATAATCATAGCGTCCTTACCCATCAACTAAATTTGAACACTGAATTTGTTCACATGCAACTAGATAATGATTAAACACTTTCACTCTGTCCCTCAAGTCCTCAACCTTGAGAAGAACATCATAATATACAGATATCGGTTACCAAAAGCTATTAGCCTATTACCATTTGTGAATGCAATATTTTACAATGAAACATCATGAACCGGGTAATTAAGTTCAAGTGTTGACAATTTTAACGTTAGACGACAGTTTCTCTTCACAACCAAAGACACAACCTGAGTTGTCATTATCAAAAGAGCACATTAAAAGTTATATGAATATAATGATCATATATTCCAAAATAAAATAAAATAAAATGAGTATTACTATAGTATAAAAAAAAAGAATTAAAGAGGTGGTGGCGGTGGTTGCATGACCAGATGAACGATAATAATTTTAGTGTTATAGATTCACCGATTTTTTGATATATTTTACTATACATGTTTTACTTTTGTTAAATTTTTAATAAATAATTTATTTTAAAATTAAACAAAAAAATAATTTGATACAAAATAAAAAGATAAAGTGTTTGTCATTTTAAATTACATAAATTTATGTCATTTTAAAAGAGAGAGATAAACACAAAATAATATTTATATTTAAAATTTAAATTAAAAAAAATTCATTTTCTGTCCCATAAATTTTATTTCTCTCTCCTAAAATAATATAACTTATATTATTTAAAATGAGAAATATCTGAAAATTTTCGCAAGTGTTTTGAAGAGAAGAACCGAAAAAGAGTCAACAGATAAGTACATGAACCCGCCACTTTGTTCCTATCACGCAGTGCCACTCTGGTCCATATGCTCAGTCAAACTCCTGAAAAAATTGATTTGTAATTATTAACTGTAAATTTGTCCCTCTGACTACCATACACTCTTTTTGAAAAATCATTACAAGTCGGAGAGATGACAGGTGAATGATTTTCTTTTTTTCTTTTGTACCCGCATGCCCTTCTGTCGTTTATTTTTTTGTACTTGATCCCAACCAGAACAACATATTTAGTCCAATCAAATGATGTTGGAATAAAGGACAAGAGGTTGATTTTTTTATAAAACAAAAAAAAAATCAAGTTAATTGCTAACTATTGATCATTAATTGCTAACCGTGGCAAAAAATTTGAGAGGGTCGTATAAAGTTTTTTTAACAAATTTTTACTTAAAAATCAAACCATTATATTTTTCACTTATACTGAAAATTTTACCAAACATTAAAATTCTTAACTATAATATTATTTAATAATAAATATTGTTATTCCGTTATATAATAAGAACCTAGGAATTTAATGTTTTTGATATAGAACTAACTATTAAAGGATTATAAGAAAAATAATTAAAAAGTTTCTTATATTTCACTTCTATATTTGTGTGCAAATACTATTTAACAAAAATATTAAATTATAAAAAATTAATATTTTGTATAAAATATTTACGAAAGTGTTAAATATTTATTTATTACAATATATTTGAATGCATTGAATTTCATAAAAGAAATAATTTATTTTTGAAATAGTAATTTTAAATGACTAATGAGTTAACTCTAACCCATAGAATTTTTTACCCATATAAACTTTTATTATCGTGAACCTTTTGACCCTGCGAGCTTTTTCACTCTACCCATATAGATTAGTGTCTATATGGCTACTTTATTAGGATTTTTTGTTTTGAAATGTTAGGATGTTTTTGTTACCACTAATTTATAATTAGTCATAATTTTATTTTCTTCTTAATTGAACTTTTTTTTCCTTCTTATTTTCAATCTTTTTCCCATCCAAACACAACGGTTCAAAAATTAGGTTTTGTTTGATTAATCAAAATACAGAATAAAGCTTATTTATTTACTCACCTATTTTTTATTTGATTATATTGAAACTTGTTCTCCATAATTTATTTTAAAAATAGACAAACAAAAAAAATACATGTTGTTTTTGCGGTTTACTCTTATTTTCATATATTCTTGTAGCTTTAATACTTTCAAAAACGTCGTCGATTTGGATTAAGAGATTACAAAATTGCAAAGATAAAAATTATTATAATCATAAAGGGAAAATTGTATCATTTTAAAAGATATGAAGTTGTGTCATTTTAAGTAACAGAAAGACATAAATCATAGGAGAGAGAGTGGAGGGAAATTTTTTAAAAAATGTGAGTCCCACCTCTTTGTGAGAGTAAAAGGATGTAAGGTGTGACATTTAAAACGACAAACCTTTTTCCAAGTCTTAAAATAAATTATAAAAATAAAAATAACTTAATTTTCACTAAAAATGACGTCACCTTGCTTTATTTTTATTTTCATATACGTAAACAAAGTCACAAATTCACACAGGAACCCTAAGGTGGGGTATAAATAGAATCTCGTAGTGGACACTTCACTAGAGGCCTAGAGGCTAAGCTCCAAATCAATCTCTTCGGATGCTCCAACTTCAAGGACGAAGGATGGTTGGTATCGTATGGAACATGGAGACTAGATCCATAGTAGATGGTGGCAGCGGCGCTTCCACTAGATCCATAGAGCCTCGAAGAATAGCACTGAGATTATGCCGGAGAATAAGAGCCTCGAAGAAATTAATTCGTGGCTCTTCTCCGATTTATGGAGTCAGAGAGCAGCAGAGAAATTAGTGGCCTTTCATTCCAAAGCAGCCAAGAAAGCAACTTCGTACGTGGAAGTGCCGCCACCACCACCTACTGTGGATCTAGTCTCGCAGTTAGAAGATAGATATTCCATACCAACCGGCCACCCTTTGAAGAGATTGATTTGGAGCTGAGGCTAGGGCTCTAGTAAAGTGCTAATTATATCCAGCTTAGGTTCTGCGTGGCTTTGTGATTTTTGTTTACTTATCCAATGCTTTAATTTGTGTCTGTGTGTGTTTTGTTAATGTAAATTTCATGGAGTGTTTGTTGGGGTATTATTTTTATTCTTTTAGTTATGCTCTAGATGTCGAGTTTT